TAAGAATATATATATATATATATATATATATATATATATATATATATATATGAATTGGATGGATTCATTTATCTCGCTGAATAAAGTCAAAATTCAATCCTTTGGTGGTAAGACTGGAATGACCTCTTTGGGGCACTGTTGTGGGGCGATAATATATATATATATATATATATATATATATATATATATATATATATATATATATGAATAAAATCAAAAAGGAAAACATGTCTTAGCCGACGCGTTTCGTCCTCTGGTGGACTTTATAGAGGCAAATGTGATGATTTTATTTTGAAACTTAGACTTTTCAGCTAGCCTTTTGAACATTTATAAAAAATTAACAAAGTTTTTACGTTTTTTATAAATACTTTTTGCAAAATAAAATAATAGATAAGGTTTCTGTTTACCGTTATTCATATAAAGGTAGATACTATTTTCCTTATTTTCCATGATATTTTTGTGTAAATTGTTTTCTTTTTAATTTCTCATATATGTTTAGAAAGTATTATGCTGTTCACATATTTACTGTTTGTAAAGTGTGTTTTGCGTGCGTATTTTTTCTGTTTTCAGCTTCCTTTATTTATTGCTATATATATTTTTCTTCGTGTTCTACTGATTTTACAGTGACTTTGTATATTATATATCTTTGCAAACATTTGCCATTTAAGGGGCATTCATTTTTTGCTCTCCAGTTACAGGTAGGTTTGGTTTCTGTGGTTGATTTGTTAGTTCATTTTCTATTGTGCTTTTAATTATTTGTTTTTTGTTCTCGGTGCAAAATGGCACAGTTTATAAAGAGCTACAAAGGACAGGAAATTGTGGAGAACCATGTTCACCAACGTCCTGATGAAGAAGAAGTAGAAGAAAGAAATATGTTCTACATATATATATATATATATATATATATATATATATATATATATATATATATTGTTTCGCTTGTTTTACTTGTTAGGAGGGGAGTCAGACCGGGTTCATAACGCGTTTTCAAAATGTGTGCTCTCTTTCTTCATGATAATTTATCTCAGCTGTGTCTGTGACCCTATCTTCTGAAGACATGATACAATTTGTTCCGTCTAACTTAATATCATTTTGCATTGATTAAAATGTTATTCATTTCAAAGTAAATAGGTACGGTTGTCTGGCTTCACATCATTGTACATAAGATTTTGTTTGCTTCCAATTCAGACATTATTGAACTTCCACTTCGATCGCTAATCAAAACAAACACTTCTCTTTCAAAAAATCTCGTTCATTTCTCGTTTTTCCCCAGACGAGCTTCAAGGTGAGAACTTAACGAGACTTGAAAGAAAAATTTTCTGACAAACACTTTAAAAAAAGTCATTAGCTTGTTCAGAGATTGTAATGACCTTTACAGGACACTTGAATAATTTAAGGTGTCAAATTTGTCCGGAGAGATTATTAATTTAAAAAAAACCCAAAAAAACAAAAAAACTTGTATATTTTTTCTATTGATTTCATACCTCGAACGATTTTTTTTGTACTAATGTATTCTCCTTCCTGTTTTGTTTTTATTCTTTCACAATTTTTCTCTGAATTTCAAGTTTTACTGCATTTCTCTTACCTCTGTCTAACCGAAAAATATGTGGCGGCAAAAGGAATCATTGTCCATCTTCTCTCTCTGGCACTTTATCGAAAGTCCCAGGTGGCATAGCATCTTTCCACTAACTCTGCCTTTCAATTGCAGGTGGCATAACTATATTTGCTGACTTCTTCCTTTCTTCCTTCCTTTCATCCTTCCTCTCCTCCTTTCTTTCTTTCTTTCTTTCTTTCTTTCTTTCTTTCTTTCAAACGTGAGGTCATATAACTTCTTCTTCTTCTTCTTCTTCTTCTTCTTCTTCTTCTTCTATGCGCCGTGTCCTTTCAGGACGTTGTCGATCATATGTCTCTCTAATTTTCTTTATGGGTTTTAATAAATTTTGTTTTTTTTGTTATCTCTGCTAATCTTTGTTCTTCATGTATTTACTGAAGCTCACTACGTATTTTATGCGTTGTTTTCCACTGTTTCTCTGAATTTCAGTCTGTCCCTATGAGTATTAAATTATCCAAGCCCTATTTCCTCTTCATGTGCCCTAGAAATTTCAACTGTCTTTTTTGACGTGAAGTATATGCGTATTTTTTCTTTCCATTTTCTCTAAAGTTCGTCGTTGCTAACATTTTTAATCCATCATATTCTCCATAGAACCACATTTCTATTGCCTTAAATCTCTTCTTCATCTGTGAGGAGATTGTCCAGCATTCACTGCTATATAGAAGACCTGATAGTACGTAACAGCCCAGTACACTTTGTCTCTAATATCTCTAATACTTTGCTTAGCTTTTGGAAGGCATCTTTTGCTATTTCAGATTTCGGTGTGGCACTATCCGGCATCTATTAAAATACTTGCCAAATACCTAAATTGTTGTACTTGCTTGATTTTGGTATCTTCAATTTGTAATTTGCATTTGCCGACAACCATGCATTATGTCTTCTTGCAATTGATTTTTAGTCCTTTCTTCTTGCTTTCCTTCATTACCTTCAGTAGGAGGTCTTGTAGATTTCTTTCAGCTGCTGCTATAATCACTGTGTAATCTACATGTCTCATGTATGATTGTGTCCGCCAATAATGAATCTCGGTCAGTCTCTCAGAATCGAGGTCTCATGATGGCGTTTTTTTTCATTCCCACTTTGTATATTTCTCTATCTTCCTCTCTTTATTATACCTCTCTCCATCTGTCTCTTCTTCTCTTCCTTCTATTTCCCTGTCTCTCTTTGACTCTCTTTCCTTTATCTCTCTCTCTTTTCCTTTTTATTCTATTTCTCTCTCTTCCTCTATTTATTATACTTCTCTCTATCTGTCTCTTCCTGTCTTTATTCTCTTTCTTTGTCTCTCTTTTCTTCTCTTTATTTTATCTCTCTCTCTCTTTTCCCTTTTTATTCTATTTCTCTCTCTTCCTCTCTTTATTCTATTTCTCTCTTACTCTATTCTATTTCTCTCCCTCTTTTCTTCTCTTTATTCTATCTCGCTCCCTTCCTCTTTTTAATTTCTTTCTCTCTCTCCTCCCCTCTTTATTCTATTTCTCTCTCTTTATTCTATTTCTCTCTGCGATTTCCTCTCTATATTCTATTTCTCTCTTTCTCACTGCCGCTCTTTATTCTATTTCTCTCACTCTTCCTCTCTCTATTCTATCTCTCTCCTCCTCTTTTTATTCTATTTCTCCCTCTCCTACTCTCTTTATTCTATTTCTCTCACTCTTCCCCTCTTTATTCTACTCTTTCTTTATTCTATTTGTCTCTCTCTTCCTCTCTTTATTCTATTTTATCTCTCTTCCTCTCTTTATTCTATGTCTCGCTCCCTCTTCCTCTCTTTATTCTATTTCTCTCTCTCTCTTCCTCTCTTTATTCTATTTTTCTCTCTCTCTTCCTCTCTTTATTCTCTCTCTCTTCCTCTCTTTATTCTATTTCTCTCTCTCTTCCTCTCTTTATTCTGTTTCTCTCTCTCTTCCTCTCTTTATTCTATTTCTCGATCTCTCTTTATTTTATTTCTCTCTCTTTCTCTCTTTATTCTATTTGGCTTCCTTCCTCTCTTTATTCGATTTTGCTCTCTCTTTATCCTATCTGTCTCTCTCTCTTCCTCTCTGTTTTAATTCCAAGCATATAGTCACGTTACGTTATTACTTACACACTTTACTGTAAACGTAAGGTCTCATCAAATCTGCCTGATAAACTGAAGAGAAACTTTTTCAGAGCTACAGTGTAATCCGTCCCTGTACACGGTTCCTTAATCTGGACACTAACGACCAAACTGGAAAAGAGGTTAACTAGTGCTTACACACGAATGCTTCGATCAGCACTAATCAAATCCTGGGAAGATTACCCAACAAAGAAAAAGCTCTATGGAAACATTCCTCCCGTCAGCAAACCAATGTGCTAACAAAAACTAAACTTTGCTGGTCACTGTTGGCGTAGCAAAGAAGAACTAGCTGAAGACGTTCTACTCTGGATAGTATCCCGTGGGAAAAGAACATAATGTCGACCAAAGACGATGTACACTGATCATATGATTGAAGACACGTTATGCAGAGTGGATGAGCTTCCAAATGCAATGAACGACAGGAATGGATTGAGGCAGCGGGCCATGGAATGCTGAACTTGTTCGGCCTGATGATGATGAAGGTCTCATGGCGGAAGTTTTTTTTCTGAATTTGTTTCTTTTTTTTTGTTTGTTTGTTTCTTTTTTTTTTCTTCTTTGTTGAAAACATGACGTCTCGTGATGGAATTTCTTTTTCTCTCTTCCTTTGTTTCTTTCTTTTGTTTCCTTTTTTGTTGAAAACTTGACGTCTCGTGATAGTGTTTCTTTTTCTCACTTCGTTTGTTTGTTTCTTTTTTTCCTTCTTTGTTGAAAACTTGACGTCTCGTGATAGTGTTTCTTTTTCTCACTTCGTTTGTTTGTTTCTTTTTTTCCTTCTTTGTTGAAAACGTGACGTCTCATGATGGAGTTTCGTTTTCTCACGTAGTAACAGTGTTTTCTTTCATTTTGGTTGTATGTTTGTTTCTGTCTTAACTGCAAGTACGTAGTCACGTTAAGTGTTATGGTAATTTACCCACGCACGCCTGGTCTCTGCCAGCTATAAATAGGAGCAGGTACTGCCTTTTGAAGAGGGAAGTTTCCAGCAGTCAGCTCTGACAGTCGGACCGAACATTCTTGCTGTAACACTCTCGTTTATATATGTTTATATTACTTAATATATGTTTGACTCAATTTCTCTCTTGTATCTTTATTCCTGTCTCTAACAAGACCCCAACATTAAGGAAATTTCATTTTTTCCATAATTCTATCTTTATTCTTTTTTTAATTAAAAGTCCATGGCCATTTTCTTTTTCATTCTCCAGTTAAAAGGGCATGGTCGTATTATGGCCTTATTTTCTTTCTGTTTTTCATGATTATTATTTTATTAGTTTCATATTGTACATCAATAACTTTAATGTTATTTCGGAGTTATGATCGAAGAAAAAAGAAGAAAAGAAAGAAAGAATGAAAGAAAAGAAAAAAAAGAAAGACTATAATGCATTCTTGAATATTCGGATTAAACAAGAAGAAAAACAAAGAAAGAAATAACGAATGAGAAATAAGGCCCGGATGCTATGACGCGCTTTTAATTGAGACAAGAAAAACGTGAAAACTTAAACGAAAAAAAAGAAAGAAAGAAAAAAGAAAGAAAAGAAAAAAGAAAGAAACATATCATAAGTTACGTTACGCTTATGCATAAAGAAAGTAAAATATAAAAAATAAAGACAGCAATGACACTGATTGCTTTCAGTTGAGAAATAAAGAAAAAAGAAAAAAGAAAGAAAGAAAGGAAGGAAGAAAGAAAGAAAAAAGAAAGAAAGAAAAAAGAAAGAAAGAAAAAAGAAAGAAGGAACGATAGAGAGAGAGAGAGAGAGAGGAAAAAAAAGAAAGGCTGCATCCTTTAACTATAGGAATAAAAAAGATGAAAAAGAAAGAAAGAGAGAAGGAAAGAATGAGAAAGAAGTCTAGAATGCTTTGACGCTATTTCCAGTGGGAAAGAAAAACTTGAACGTTTGAATGAAAAAAAAAAAAGAAAGAAAGAAGTAATAAAGAATAAAGAAAGAAAAATGTAAAATCAAAATGTCACGTTACACTTTTTAAAATTAAAAAGAGAAATGTATAAAGAAAGAAATAAAAAATTAAAATTAAAAGAAAGGTTACAATGCTAAATAGCTCTTTAAAAATAAGAAAGAAAGAAAGAAAGAAAGAAAGAAAGAAAAAAAGAAGGAAGTAAGGAAGGAAGGAAGGAACGTAATAAAAGACCGTAATGCATCCTTGAAGTTTCGGATAAGAAAGAAAGAAAGAAAGAAAGAAAGAAAGAAAGAGAAATAAAGTAAAAGAAATGAAACCAGAACACTATTAGGCGCAGTAAATTGAGCAAAAGAAAGATGTTTTAATGAAAGAAAGAAAGATCGCAATATCACGTTACTCTTTCGAAAACAAAGAAAGGAGAAAGAAAGCAAAAATAAAGCCCTCAACGCTACCAAGCGCTTCTAATTGAGAATGAATGAAAAAGCAAAAGAAAGACCTCAAATATTTCGTTGAAAACAGAAAAAGGAAAAAAAAAGATATGCACAAAGTAAAACAATAATGTTACCAATGCGCTTTTAATAAACAAGCAAGCAAGAAAAAAAGAAAGAAAGAAAGAAGGAAGGAAAGAAAGAAACACCATAATTATCACCTCAGGGTTTCAATAAGTAAATAAAAAAAAAACAAAGATCGTATTACTATCTTGCATCTTGAATTTAAAAAGTAAAAAGAAAAAGAAATATGGAAAGGATGACCATAATGGCACCACGAGCTTGAAATTGTGGAAATAATTAATGAAAAAAGACCTTTAATGTGACCTATCGCTTCTGTCTGAGGAAGAAAGCCATTTTAATGTTGAACTAGCCGAGGTACCCGGTGTTATCCGGATGTATATGGCTGCAATTGTCTAATCGCGCTCCTAGTATAACCGCACCCCTGTCTAGATGTGTCTGTTTGCGTCCCTGCTTGCAGGCATCATCCGTTGGTATACTAAACTACACGCCCCTCATCTTTTTTTACTGTTATTTTGAAAGTGTTTGAGTGTTCTTAATAAAGGAATTCCATCGATAAAACGTTCTTGTGTGGTCGTCGCTCGGGGTTAAATTGTTTCAATATTTTAGATATTTAGTAAATTTCCTACAGCCGTAATAACTTTCAAATACTATGGCATTGCTCACAATCTAATAATAATAATAATAATAATAATAATAAAACAAGGATTAAGCGTCAGAGTGTGATTCAATTGCAAGTGCAATTGTTCCCTTTTTACGTTTCAATATTTCTTCTCAAACAATCTTTGCATCAAAGGTTGTTCGAATGCCAATTTTAGGATGGAATCATGAAGAAACTTTTGGCTAAATGGCAAAAGCCGATTTTGGACCTAGCTTTTCGTAGATTTCGTCCACTTAATTGAAATAATCTAAACCAAACATTCACGCAAGACAATTTTTGTGTCATATTTGATTTACATGGCAAATTTGGAAAGCATCGGATGTAAAACTAGGGAATTATGTCTCAAAAACTGGCTTTTTGAACAGCTGTCGTGGTTTTTCCTTATATGCGTGGAAGCGAGCAGGATTAAAACCACACTATCTTATTTCTTGTATGATAGCGATTGCGAAATGTTTCAAGAAATAGGCTAAAAAATGAGGTACTTATTCAAGTAGTACGAAAAACACGATTTTTTCACAATTTTTGTAATTTTTGGGGGTAATGCCAATGTCAAAGGGAAACTATCTATTCAGTGCAAAGAACTTCAGTTCATCCAGTAAAAATTTTTTCGCGTGTAACTTTGCCTTGGTTGTTGCAAAAAGCCGTTTCTCTGCCAAACACTGGAGGCCTGGAAATGAAAATGTTGCTCTTGGCCTACTTTGGTAAATTTGCAACATGTATGTACAAATTCATCGAAATCGGTCGAGAAATGTGGACGTGCATAAATCCCATATACACATGCAGACAAACGCACACACAGACAGACGCACAGGCAGATATCTTTTGTTTTTATAGATATACCTGTTATCGTATGGAAGTGATATTCGCTCCAGTGACACACTATAACATGCACATTTTAAATTATATATATATATATATATATATATATATATATATATATATATATATATAATTATTTATTTAAAAATATAATTCCATCGCTACATAAGAGTTCTCATGTTTCAAAACAAGAGCCGAAAACTTCAATATAATTATTTGAATTAAATTGAATTAAAGTACCAAGCTCTGTTCCATCTTCAAGCGAATTTTTTTTGAATAACTAATTCTTGAAATTTACGCGTTTTTATAAGCATATTCATTATTAAAATTAAAATTACTATGGTAACGGCTAGAGCAATTATTTAAAAAAGTCGCGTAAGGGTTAATAATTTGTATCAATATCTCAGTTACATTGAAAGAAGTCAAGTCAGGTTAAAGTTGGGGTGACTAAATTTAAAGCGGAAGATGACATCGTCTAGTCTGGTTAAGTGTCTATGGATTATTTACCTCACGAGTTCTTTCCTATTTTTATATATTTTCACACACACACACACACACACACACACACACACACACACACATATATATATATATATATATATATATATATATGAAGCTACTCAAGGTAGACGATTAGAACGGCATATTTACTCTTTCTAGGTGGTTTAGGTTTTGACCATTTTAATTTATTGCGTAGGTAGGTATTTGCCTTCTGGTCTTTGTTTTTCTTTCCTTGTTTGGAATGTTTTCTTGTCTAAGGTATTAGGTCGTCTGAGAAGTTGTCTGTTGGTCACATGGATCTAGACACATGCAGACGATCAACATCAGCCCAAAGAGACTTAAAATGAAATTGAAGAAAAGAAAAATCAAATTTCAAATTGTATAAAATTTAGCATAGCTTACACATTGAAACGCTGACGCAGAAAGCCATCCGACAAATGCTCAACATTCCGACAACAATGAGAGTGATAGTTATCAAGTTTTATAAGGTAGATCCCCCCCTCCACTACAAATTATGCGGAAGGGCCACCAAGGAATTCATTAAACAAAGGAAAAGAAACAAAGAAAAAAAACAAAAAACAAAACAGATTTTACATTTGGGGTCATTTCTCAACCTTCTAACCACAAAAATTAAAATTCTCACACAAAAAGTAAGTCAAAAATCAGAACAGTGTCGGATTATTATTATTATTATTATTATTATTATTATTATTATTATTATTATTACTACTACTATTAGGTTTGTGCAAAAATATTGTCGTTTTTTGACGTTAAGTTGAACGTCAAAAACGACAATATTTTTGCACCAACCTAATACTACTACTATAATTATTATTGTTATTATCATTGTTATTACTATCATTATTATTAATATTCTTATTATTACCAACAGCATAATTATTATTCTTACAATCATTATTATTATCATTATCATCATTTTTATTACTATTTTCTTGCTTTATATTCTGTAGATCCGGGTCAAATTAAACCCTATAGGGGAATTGTTATTTAATTGATAGCACTTTTCTTAATATATGCGATGTTCCTATATATATATATTATGTGTGTGTTTAGGCAGCATTTTTGCATTGATGCATGTTTCATTAAATAATATAGTTTTGTCTATTTATTTTATGAAAATTCTTTTCATATCGTCTGATAAGCTTAATACTCTTTTAATGATAATGTTATTAAGCTTATTAGACGATATGAAAAGAATTTACATAAAATACTTGCCGAAATTATTTAATGAAACATGCATCATATATATATATATATATATATATATATATATATATATATAGATAGATAGATATATACTACTTTTTTTTTTCCTTCCTCATTTTTTCTCTCTATCTCCCTCTTAAATGACTTTTCTTTTATTTGCGTTTTTCCTTTTTTTTTTTTTTTTTTACTGTTCCTTCATATCTTTTTAATTTTCATTTTTTTTTTTTTAAATCGTCCTGATTCATTTTCATCAAACGTTTTAATATTGACAAGCTCCCGGGTAATTCTCTACGAGAGAAATCTTTCGAGGAGCGAAATGACCATATAAATGGGGTGCAATTGAGTTTCATATTTATGTAATTCATATATATATATATATATTAGGTTGGTGCAAAAATAATGACGTAATCATGTCGTTTTTGGACGTATTTTTAACGAGAAAAAAAAACGACATTATTACGTCATTATTTTTGCACCAACCTAATGCACACACACACACACATACACACACACACACACACACACACACATATATATTATATATATAATTTCACCACAAGCAAGGTGATAATTCCAATAAGAGGCAAGGGTTTTTCTGGGAGTGAAAGAGAATCAGAGGTAAACCTGATCCTAAACAGGAAACAAATGTATGTCTATGCGTGTAGCGAATGGCATTTTAA